CCCAATGCTGGCATGCACATCCAGGTGGGGGCAGTCCAAGCAGATCTCTTGGGCTATGGCGCCTGCGTCGCTCGGCAGGACTATACCACTGTGGAAGCCTTTCCCAAAGGAGGTTCTTCTTGCTGGATGGCTCAGGTGAACGCGGCTGGGCGGGCATGGATGTGGCCAGAGGCCGCCCCTGCCACGACGTCAACGAAGGTGTAGGGAACACGAGCCGCGTGCAGATTGTGGGTGCTGGACAGAATGTCTTGCTAGGCTCTCAAGGAAACTGAACTGCCTTTCCTTCAAGTAGTGCTCGTTGTTCGCATTTTGCAATGCTCCTCGATCACATGCTTGCTGTGATTATACAGGTCCTGCAAACGTCCAGCCAGGGTAAGGTTGCGACAGCATCTTCTATTCGGACAAGTATCGGTGACTGTGTTGAAAGGGGGGCTCTCTCAGTCTGTCGAGGACTCTTAAGTTCGCATGCGCAATAAGTCTCGCCAGACAGAGGCAATGGAAATGCAAACAGCTGCAATCGTACGGCAGCAGCTTCGCCCAGACGCTGCGAGACTAAGTTAGCCTGTGACGCGATTTTGTTGTTGTCGCCGGTCTTCTTCGAAGAAGCAGTGCTGAGGGTGCTGAGGGTACTCAGGCAGTGCCTGCAGAGCAGCAAGATTTCAAGCTTTTCGATCCTCAGTGGTAGGCTGTTTGGGTTGGTATGTTTTTCCTCCTTGCTAGATGCTAGTGGGATGTGGAGTCCAATTATTCGGGTAGAGAGAGGCCCTGGTGCCCTGGCGCACACCTCCTCAGGAATATCTTTCAAACCTCCGCATGATCCATGTCCTAGATTCTGAAGAACCAGGGTGCAGTCTTCCACGAGGTAGTCATCAGCAGCTCGGCGCTGTCGGCATGCGGTGTGGCGATGCAGTGGCAGCAGGCCCCGGCACAGCTGTTTCCCCTCCTGGCCATTTGTGTTTGAGAATGCACCTTAGCAAGCAACTGCTTTCTGCTTTTGTCGTTGAATTGCAGTTCCAATTCGAGGTCTGATTCGCGTAGATCCCGCCAAGAAGGGATAAGATGGCACCCCGCTATTGTAGATTCTCTAGGTCCGATTCTTTCCGCAGAAGACCTGTGTCTGGTCTGGATGTAGAAGAGCAACAGTTACACCCCGGAAAACTTATCGCAATTGGGGCTTCCAAGACATTCCGCGGGTACAGAGTAACTTCTGGAAGCTTCAAAGAACAGTTGAGGAGCCCCGGGCAAAGCAGGATCCAACATTGACACAGCTCCCCAAAGAACGGGCCAAGCAGATACCGCAACTCTCCGAAATTCTCCGAACAATATGTTGGGTAGGTTGACTCTCGTGGTAAGACAAACCTGCATGCCAGGCCCTGGAGTCATTTGCCGCCCTTGCCGTTTTGACGCTGCAGGTCGTGCGGGGCCTAGGAGCAGCGCATCTTGTCAGTCTTGTCTCATCTTGTCTCATCTTGTCTCATCTATCTTTGGCATTCAGGCTTGCGATGAATGAGCAAAGGCGGCTTGAGTTGAGTTCCGCTGACATGCGCAGCCACTGGCCCCAGTTGCATTCAGCCCCTCTTCCTGACTGCGGCCCCCAACCATGCGCGAGTTCTTGAATTTGTCCGCAGTTCTCACTGTGGCGGCGCCGCTCTTGGAGAGTCCGTGCGTTTAGCATGCGTCACTAGTGCACAAGAGAAACAGTACAACAGAGATCTGCAGCTTCAGGTGCTTTGCGGTGCGACGGTTCTGCTGTCGGACAGCCCGGCTTTCACTGCTGGAGCTGGCCAGAGGGTGGAGGCCAGCTTGAACAAACAACTGTAAAGAGTGCTGCTGCAAGAAGCAAGAAGTCAAAACCACACGAGTGGCCCTCCAGTCAGAGGTCCAATAAATCTGTCTTGCACTTGGACTGCGGTTATCGGCATACTACGGGCAGTTGGTAAACATGTCGGCCCGTCTTTTGGCTCAATATGGTCTACTTGCCTGATACCCATGAATCAATAGGACGAGGGATGGTGATGGGCCCTTCTCTCGATCCTCGACAAGTTTGGCTGCTGCGACTCTGCAGTGCCACTTCTTTTCTCTGCGTGCTGGTGGGCTTCCCGTGCGCTTCATTCTGGCGCGATGTGGCTTTCCGGACGACGGGCTTAGCACACACCATCCTGGGTGTCACGCTGTCAGTGCAAACCAGTTGGGCGCGCACGCTGCGGCTACGCATCCTTCTGCTGTTGCACACGTCTGCTTCGTTTCAAATTTCAGGGCAATGGTGTGCGGATTTTGATTCATGGGCCTTGGCATTGTTGATGTCTCTAGGATACCAGACTATTGCGTGTTTTCTGCTCATCAAGTCGCATGCGCTGGTCCACTTGCTGCTCCTCGTAATCGGTTCAGCCCTTTGCTATGCCACTCGTCCTGATGCCGGCGCCTCTGTCTCTTTGATGGAGGGTCGGGAGTGGGCGGTAATGATGGCAGGGCTTGGGGTCATTATGGTGTCTGCACAGTGGCTTTTTTGTGGAGATTACCTGCTCAAGAAGCTCACTGCGATGGTATCTGTCTTGACGATGACCGGAGAACAGCTTGACAACAGCCTTCATTTGTCGGACTCGTCTCTGTCTGGCTCCTCTAGGCTTTCTTCATCCCAGCTCGACCTGCCTGAGAACTTGCCAGAGGGGCTAGAGATAATGAAGTACGTCAGCGCAGGATCTTACGGCAGAGTCTACTACTGCACGTGGTCTGGCCGTCGTGTAGCGGCAAAGGTCATGGCTTGGAGAGCTAAGCACAGTCGAGCTGACCCAGTTCAAGAGGCCAAGCTCTGCATCAAGCTCTCCCATGAGAAGCTCATCCAGACCTATCATTTCTATCATGGTCCGAAGGAAGTGTGGCTTCTACAGGAATGGTGCGACAAAGGCACGCTTCGCGATTTCTGTGACAGGCCTCGGTGGGACTGCAGTGGGCTCAAATATGTAAAAAGCATGATGTCAGACGTGTCCGAAGGTTGTGCGTATTTACATTCTCAACACGTCATTCATGGGGATCTTTCTTCAAACAACGTGCTGCTGCAATCACGCAGTGTGCAGCAAGAAGGGGACATCGAGTTTGTGTGCAAGGTGTGCGACTTCGGTCTGGCGCGCGTCCTCAAAGATGGTGTGAGCACTCTGCTTACTTCGCAGCTGGGCACCGTCTCGCACATGCCCCCAGAGCTCCTTGTCCCAGAGTGCGCTGACCAGGCTCCGCGCCTTAGCGCGAAGGCTGACGTCTATGCAATTGGAGTCCTGCTACACCAGGCTGTACTGGGGCAGCTGCCATACGCAGGTATGCTGCTGCCACAGATCATCTTTTTCCTAGCAGAAGGCAGAAGCCTTCAACTTCCCACCGAGGTCCCAGAAGAGCTACGTAGACTCTCTGGACTGTGCCTGAAACACTCTCCGGAGAATCGCCCATCATCTGCCAGCCTGTACCAAAGTTTCACCTCGCTGTCTTGGTAGGAAGATCCGGACAATTTCTGTTTCACCAGGTGGCTGTACAGGCGTTGAGCACGCATCAGGGCACCCGGTGACAACGAAAATTACGCGCGGACCTTGCCTAGGTTAGACACTCACAGCTCTGGCTTCGCTCCAAGTATCCGGGGATCATGCAAGTCCAAAGTCTTCCGCTCGCTCTTTTAGCTGCTCGCCAGGCTCCACACCGCAACGCTGGCGCCAGCCGCACAGCCACCTTTGCCTCTGCTCACGAGGCGACGCCTGCTCAACGAGCTTGCAGTTTGCAGTTTGCAGCCAACCATTTCTTCGCACTCAGAATTTTATAAGTCACCATCACAAGATTCTGGGAGCCGTGCCCCATAATCTTTCTTCTGTCTCCAGCTCGGCCGTGGTGGCCATTGCGAGGAATGCAATGTGGGGCTCAGTCCGAAAAGAGTTGCATTGAGTGGTTGCTGCGAGGTTTTCCAAAGAACTCCGCAGCTAGCAGAAGACGCATCAGACGGCTGTTCGCCAATGCAGATCATGTGTTGTCCGGCATGGCTTCGGCAATCGCTCAGATGTGAACCCAAGACGGACGTGACCTGCATGCCTGTCACATACCTGTGCAGCGGACTGGCTAAATTAGGGCTAGCTCGTAGGAAGTCGAAGCCAGCTATAACTCAACCAGTGAAACCCTACTGCCAGCATGGGCTATCTCGGGTCGGGTTGAATCCAATTCACGGGTTGAAGAAAGAACTTCCCGGTGATCAACCTATCCAGGACATCAAGGTTGTAAGAAAGAATGACAGAGATTAGATAATGGCAGGCTCTGGGCACTCAGGGTGTCCTCTGCTTTGGCATGGGCTTCGGTGCGCTGGCTCTCCGGCTAAACTGTGTCAATCGTCGCGCATGCCGAGCAGTGATTCTATGTGCGCCAGTGAAGTTTCATGGTTATCTGCCGCCGCAAGATTCCTTCACGGAACTCCCTAGCCACCAAATGCTCCCAGCCAAGGAACTTACAGTAGGTTAGAGTTTCCCGTCACCTTATGCGTGGCTGCGACATCACGCACCAACATTTTCACGAATTAGCATCATGGGATCCTTATTCCTGCCGCTACTTCTACCGGTCTTGACCTGCACCCAGTCTTCGTGATTGATGCCACCATCTAATTACCACGCCTCAATCCCATGCCCGTTCACCTAAGATATCTAACCTAATCCGTGCTCTGAAGTCCCTGGCAAAGCAGATTCTTGCAGCCTTGGTCGTGCGCGAACCCAGGACAATCTCTAAATGTCGAAAGTTCCAAAGCAAGCTGTGCCCAAGGTGGCTGTAGGCCGTGGACTGACTGCCCGGCGCGCCCAGGGCTCCGATATTGCGGTGCCGTGGGAAAAAGTTGGGGGATTCGGGCCGGATGTAGGATTTTCTTGGGTATGAGAGTTTTGGATACAGCAAAAGGTCGGAGATAGCCTACTGGTGTGATATCATGTCATCGTATTCTTGTCATACTTCTGCTAGCCCGCTGACTGCTTGCAGACGACTTGCTCATGTTCGGGATTCTTTTTTCTATCGATGAGAACCAAGAGCACAGCGATTTTGGACCGGCAGCTTGCGAGAGCTTCATGTCCGAGCATGTGGTTGCTGAATGCGGTGCTTTGCTGCCGCTGTTGCCTGGACTGGAGTTCGCCATAGCGTGTTCCACCGAGGTGCAGGAGAAGGCTGATGTCTCCAAGATCGCCTACCTGCAGGCGTCAAGTCATCTGCACCTCGCCAGCGCAACACCAGTTACCAAGAGAGCACCAGGGAAGCGCCACCGAGCCCAAACCTCTGCGCGTCAGAGGTTTCATCCAAACTAGCCATGAGCGCAGGACATCCCACGGACCATTGTGGAGAAGGACGCGCTTGAGCTGATCCTGAAGAACACTCCGCGGGACCAGTGGGAGAACCCTCCTGAAGACACCTACCTATATACAGCTGGGGCCCCCAGAGCCGCAGAGCTTGAGGTCTGAGATAGTCTCAGGAGTGGGACTGGCCGTGGTAAAAGGAAATGCAGCCGAAAGGTGACAGCCAGTGGCGTAGCTGAGGTACTCTTCCATGATTGAAGCGGGCCGGGCAGCTGTGGGTGTTAACTGCCAGTAGAATGCAAAGGCAGACTGGTTCCGTCCCAGGTCAAGGCCTTCGCTGAGATGTATGGGCCCGGAAAGGCTACGAAGATGGGATGGTGGGACGCTTGCCTGAAACTGAGTCGTGACTCTTCTTGTTCATCTGCTGCTAACAACAACTAGTGGGCCCTGCCTTGATGAAAGAGAGAGGCTATGTTTGGTATGAGTCATCTCTTTGAAGCTGTCCTTCTTGGGATCCAGCTGGGCAGTGCTAAGCTGAGGACTACTACCGGCTGAAGTTGGACATGCCGGAGACCAGCTGCAGTCAGGGAAGGTGACCATGACAGTCTTAGCATGGGTCTGAGTGCAAGAATCAAATCTTCGAAGCTCCGGTTTTCTTTTGGATCCATGGTCGCGTGCACGGTTCAAGTACTCTGCTGAGACTAACGAAAATAGCTACTGCGGATGGAGTAACGAGCCTTATTCTTGTGGTTCGGTGGCCCTGTGCTGCAGTGGAAGCCGGGCAGCTACAACATACTCCGTCTGGCTCCAAATCTACAACCCCCACATGATCGAACTTGCTAGCTAGGGCATCGTAGAGAAGACATGAAAAGCCACAAAGGGACCCTCCCTTTCAAGTCAAGATCTGTTGAGGACACCACCCGCCTCGACTCGGAGCGCGAACTACAGGCGACTTGCGGCGGGTCAGTGATACACATATGATATCATCGCAAAATTACGAAAACTGCCGTGACCATCCTGAGTCTCTCCGTGGCGAGAAGACTTGTGAGAAGCGTTTGGCAGTAATCGTCCAGCTTGTCGCATTTGCTACAAGTCGTTGTCAACTCGAGGGTCGTCCTGGTATCATCTATCATATTGCGAGGGCTGTTCAAGTTAAGTGCATCAGTCATCTGCACGCACTATGGGATTTGCAGTTTGTTTTTGCTTTGCATGCATGCGCAAAGGTCTTAGGATAGGGAGCTTGGTTTTGGATGCAGGACATATCATGATTTGAATTGACAGGAGATCGAGGAGTATGAGAAGCTGATGATGTCAGGCCCTCGACGGAGCAACCATGTTGCCCCAGACGGTTGATGGGTAGGCTGCAAAGGAAGTTCGTGAGGTTGGGCAGTCTCCTACTAGTTACTAGCTGCTAGCTCAAGCTGCACATGGTCAGGCAAGGTCCCATTTGCAGTACCCGGCCCTTCGGGCTACTGGTTCACGGGCTTCGTTACCCAGTGGAAGGGCAAGGCCGCGCCTAGTCCAGCTTGGAATGTCTAGTACATGGGAAATAGGTTGTTGCATTGGGCGCCTCTGTGCCTTGCTTCATAACTGCATTTTCTGCGGGCTGACTTTTTAAAGTTGCAGGTCTGCTAAACTGCTAAAACCTCAGCAGGGGCAGGTGTGAGTGACCATGAACATGTACAAGTCGCAGACAGCCAGGTACCTTAAACGATGCCAGATTACAGTTGCCTTGCGCATAGGTTAGAACGCAGGATCTGGTTTTTCCTTACACGCCAAAGGGGGAGTTTTTTTTTGGCAAGGTGTGGCTCTGGTCCCTTGGTCCTCCAGTCCCGTGCTCCTCCCGTCCGGTGGTGTTGTGGTGCCGCTGTCCCAAGTAAATCCTAAAATTTGCAGCGGTTGAAATGTTCCCAGACCCGCAACTACTTTGATTTACAATACTTGAAGCTTTCCAAGACCAGCGGAAACGCTTCAAGATCAGCACATGCCGTATTTTACAGCATTTGAAGCATTCCAAGACCAAATAGGACCGAGCCACACCTTTACAAACAAAAAAGGTCGAGGCACACCTTTGCAAACAAAAAAAGGCCAAGCCACAACTTTCCAAAACAAACTCCGCTCGGAAGGGGATAAAGGTATCGGGTGGAACTTCAAAAAGGGCGTTCAAAGGGAATTACTGAAATCGAGAGAGAGCCAAGCATCTGAACTTCTTGCCGGGGCTCCTGCTTCCTTATCGGATGGTGGGTCTTCAAAGACGGTCTCAAATCTTCCTTTGTTTACTGGCCTGAAGCCAGCAATTTTCAACCTGTGATTAGTTGGTGATTAGCTATTTCTTCTCAGCGAAGCCCAGGATTAAGTCCAGTCTTCCCCAAACTAGCACGGAACCCCCTGTCAAGCCTTTTCTTTTCATGATTGATTATGGTTGCTGTTCAGCTTCTCCTTCTTGTGATCTTGTCTCTGTGCTTTTCTTGCGTGGAGGAGCCCTTTGCTGGCGACCAGGTCATCACACTGACGGAGAATCTGGTCAGAACATGAATAGAGCCCAAGGAGACATGACAATGGTTTGCAAGATCCACCGACGCAAGCATGGGCTGTGTAGTCGCATTCCAGTACGTACCAACGCTGTATCAAGCCTCTGGCAAATCTAGCCTATTTACAGCCCGATGGCCCAGGAATGGCCTTTTTGCCAAGCAGTTCCTGTCTGCCGGGGCGCTTGGGAATCCTTCTGAAGGTGCTGGGGGGACTGCAGAATTTCAAGGAGCTACCGTGTTGAGATTCATGTCAAGGTTCTGGGAAGAAGTTTAATGGAGTAATCGAGATGCAAACACTTCCGATTCGCAGGAAGATGCTGAAGCTCGGTCGTTTGCCGCTCTGCCCGCCTAACACCTGCTCCGTAAAGAAGAACCCACAGGCCCAGCCCGACCTACCCCCTGTTCGACACATCCCGAAGGCTGTACATTGCGCTGAGGCCATGGCCTTCTACCGCGAAGGTCTGAAGCCCTGGCAGCGAGGATTAGAGAGCCTGGGCCGCTACAGGGAGTGTTCCAAAATGAAGTTGCAAATTCAGAAATAGAATACAGAGAACGGCATCTTGTAAAAGGACTCCTTGCTATTGTGGTGAGCATTATTCTTTTTGTTGTCAGAAACTGTACCAGTGCTGAGAGCCTGCAGCTATGTGTGGATTCGAGGTGCAATGGCGCATGTCGTTGAGGGCATGCAGTAGGCTTTTTGAAGTTAAACCTTTGGCGCTGAGATCGGACATTGTCTTGGATGTAGGATAAGCTGATGCTTGGGACTCGGTGTTCAGGCAGGTAGTGGGGAAGTTTTCGTTTGGGGGTTGGGGGGTATGCGCCGACGAAGTCAAACTCGTGTAGTTGGTACAGGTCCAAGCGCCATTGGTGGGTCAGCTTCTTGAAGCTCACCGTATAACTTATCGCTTCCCACCGTTTAAAAGGATCAATCTCGCTGAGGATTGGAATGGCGCACGGCATCCTGGCAGTTGAAGAGCGCTGCAACGTGACACCTTGAATTTTGAATCGACATATCTGCTTAGGAGGTGTAAGCAGCTTCGCCGAAGCCAGGGCAGAAGAGGGATTCAAGCTCATGCCCTGCCTCCTGAACCCACCATCTTTAAGGCTTGTTCTGCAATTTCGGAGCTGTAAGCTTCAAGTCTCTCTCCCTGTTCAGATTGATGGGTTCTGGAAGCTCTTGCTTTCAGGCCGCCTTCTAAGGACCTCCCGCTTTGGAAGCCTAAGAAGCCGTGAGCAACAGAGGCTATTTCCTGATCGGGCCGTTCACGTCCCTCGGCCCCTTGAGGAACACACCTGAGGCCCCCTGCACGGCGCTGAAGGTTCAAACCTCTTTGTTCCGCTCATTCATCCGGGTCATTGAGAAATCAGGATTACGCGATATAGGGGGGGACATAGCCACCGCGTGGCTCAGCGAGGCCTTCCTGTGCAGCTTCGGCTATGTAACTTTTTGCAAGTATGCTGCAGGAGGCAAGATGAGGTACTTGGTCAGGGGGTCTTCCTGGGGCCTAATTTTTTGTTGCCATAGCATACGTACCACAAGAGAATCGGAGACACATCAGGCAGCTGGAAACCCAGCTCGCACTTCTGTCGCACTGCTTCAATTGAAGTTAAAGGCCTCTCCTCAAAAGCTGAACATGAGATCTATCTGACACTGGGCCCTTTGGAAGAGGCAGCAACAGTCGGCCTGCTCTGTGGTTGCGCTATCGTCGGCATCGTTTCGGTCAGGGGCTTAGATTAGATGCTGCTACAGTCAAAAGTTGCTTACGCCTTTAATCTTCCCGCAGCAGGGCCCAACTCGTATTCAGAGCCAAAGAGGTCTACGGTCTAAAAGCTCCTAAGTCAGCGCTGACGCAGACCTACTAGGTCTACAGGTCCAACCGCAGGTCAAGATAAGGAGCCTGAAGCCCTCATCATCTCTGCCTCACTAAGATCGGTGGTCTGATCTTCGGCTCGACCATCAAGCCGACACGCTTTGACAAGGACAATGCTGACGGGGCAGCGTTGGTCCTTCATTGCCGTGTGACATGCATGCCTGATGATGCATCTGCAGAGTCGAAGAGTTGGAAGATGGCCGCAAAACATTTGAAAGCAAATGCAGAATTTACTTTCTCTTGCGCTTCAGAACCAGATCGCCAGACTTTTTCGCAGTGCCAGGACGGCGACAAGCCAGGAGCTGGTCTCCTGGCCGTCTGTACAGCCTTGAGCGACCTTATAGACTTTAAATGAGGTCAGGTTCTGGAAAAGCTGTGCGAAATGGTTGGCTTTTTTGGTCGACCACTTCCACGTCAGAAGCAATCAAGTAGGACTTTGTGGAGGCCTTTGGGGCTAATCTTATGGTGGCTTTGTGAGGAGCGGTTTGTGACCGTTGCGCGCAGTTCAGTTCCAGAGTGTGCTAGTGGTGCTCATGAACAACATGAACGTTTCGAACCATGAGAGCATGTGTTGCTAATTCGTCATCTTTCAACAGCACACCTGACCGGTGGCAACCGGCGCCGCCAGCAGCGATACATCAATTAAAGAACCGCAAGTCGGAATGGCAAAGTGTTTGACTGCCCTGCATGCAGCAGCACCACTAGTCAAACAAAGAACAGGCTCAGAGTATGCTGGGACAGGGACAGATTTGATGATGACGATGATGATGATGACGATGATAATGATGCTGATGATGATGGTGATCATGATGAGGATCATGATGATGATGGCTCATCACGAAAGCTAGCCTCCGGGTCTAGCTTGAGTTTCTTATCAAGCGTTAGCTTGCAACAAGGGGTGTGGGGGACGGGTCCGCAAGGGGGGGTAGGCACCCTTGCAGGGTTCTCTCAGCCAGACAGCAGGGCAGGGAGGGATCACCGGGGGACTGTATTCTGACCCTTAACGGACCCTAACAGAACATATAAAGAACACTGTATCCTACCCAAGAGAACACATAAAGAACACTTAGTTTTTGCTGAAGAAGGTTGCCATTGTAGACCTCCATTGTCTGGTGTCGGCCCATGTTTGTGTTTGAGCATACGTGCATATTGTATCTGCTAGAGTATAGCAGACTCCTGGCGAGGACTAGATGGTTAATGTAGGTAGAGTCATATGCGAATACTACTACGTACGCTTACATTTACAAGGCGTGCTATTTGAGAGACATGCATTTACGTGTCATCCCCAGTAGTTAAAGGACATTGCGACCGCAGGGGGGGAACATAGAAGGCACTTGCCCCACTCGCCCCTTTTGCCCCACTTGACCGCAGTTGAAAAATTCCAGTATCGTTAGCCTCACTTGCCCCACTGACCCCACTTGACCCACCTGCCCCATGCCCACTTGCCGCAACTCTCCCCCCACAGTGGTGTGGCAAGTGGGTCAAGTGGGGTTAGTGGGTCAAGTGGGGCAAGTAGGGCAAGCGGGCCAATTGGGGCAAGTGGGGCAGAGGTTTGTTCTCAAGTGGCTTGTTTGGAGCCTCCAGAGCAGGAGTTGGGGGGAGGCCACATCATGAGGGGAGTGGGGGGCAAGTGAGCCAAGTGGAGCAAGTGGGGCAAGCGGGGCAAGCAGGGCAGGGGTTCGTTTTGGGGCGCTCAAGTAGCTTGTCTGGAGCCTCAGGGGAAGTGTGGCAAGTGCCGTGCCGCAAGTGGGGCAAGTGGCCGCGGATCCTTAATCCCCCCAGCACCGACACTCTCAAAAAGAAGAGGGCGCATCTGGATTCTGCCCAGTTAGATCCTGCTCTAGCTTTCGTCCCAGTCCCTCTCCCCCAAGTGTTGTGCAACGCGTTGAATAGGTGGTGAGGGCACATAGTGAAGGAAGGGTGAGAATATTTTGTGCAACACAAGCCAGCAGTCCTCAGAGGAGTGTGCGCCGCGTTTTTATTATCAATGTTTGAGACCTGATCTTTCCCACAAGCCAAGGCTTCATTGAGATGATCAACTGGCACGCCGTTGGTGGCCTTGGTGGTGCTGGTTTCGCGCATGCACTGATCACGGTATTCCCGGCTGGTTCATGGTAGGCATCTGAAACCTGCGAGCATACTTAGCTGACTTAGCCGTTCAAGTCGGCGAACTCCGCAAGTCGTGGCGATGTCCGTCGAAGCTTGGTGGAGGGAATGCCTGTGCGACTGTTCAGGCGCACACACTCACACAAGCACAGCTGGGAGTATGTCTGCACGCCCTTGCTACACGTGTGAGCTTCTGTACAAAGCTGTTGCGCTTCTCCATTCGAAGCAGCTGCCAGGTCTTTGGCTCTGGCTGAGGACGCAGAGAGGAATTTATTTAAATGGTCCGTGCCCATGAGCTGCAGGCTGGCGAGGCTGAATCAAGCCCACCGTTGAACTGCGAAGCTTCTTGCAAAGTTGCGAATATGGTGCCAACCTCTCTTCGTGAATCTGTTGGCTGTTCTCTGGCATGTTGCCGGGCTGAAAGCGCTGGAACGAAAGATTGTCAAAGGTCGACGTATGCTGGCATCAAAGATCCCACTTGTAAGACCCTGCAGGAAATCAGGGGCCCCCTTGCATGCTGAAGCCTCCATTGTTTGCTTAGGCAACGAAGCTGAGTGACCGCCCGAAAAACTCCAAAGTGCAGGGATCAACCAACATCTTGTACAGGCTTAAGTTGAGCGGCTCCTGTGTCCTGTGCAACACGACAGCCTGCCTCAACGGGAAGCGAAAAAGTGCAGGCCCCTTACAGATGCTCAAGTGATTTTTTTCTTTGGCGTTGTGCTAGACATGGGCCTGGGCCTGCCTTGGCCTCTTACTTTGGAGTGTGGCTACCAGTCAGGTTGGCACGCAGCTGTTTTCCAACCGTTGAACGCCAGCATTGGAGCCCGGACCGGTCAACGGCAACCTCCACTGCCAAGGACAGCGCTGCCCAGACGGCTGCCATCGCGGCCTGCGCAGAGGCCTGGAAGATCGGTTCAGGCTTTAAAGTCTATCCGAGTTAGCCCTGGGTCAAGGCTTGCAAGCCCACAATGCGGAATATTGCCAGTTTCAGGGCGTCGCGCAGCTGCCCTGTTCTGAAGGATCGCAGACCCCCAAAACAGGGAAGGTCTTGAGGTTTGCACTTTGCAGCAGTGGTGCCGGGTTCATGACGAGGTTGGTCTTTGGCAGCGAGCGTTCCAGCTTCGTTGGCACTCACCCCACAGAGAAGGCACCGCCCCGACGGGTTGGGACTAGGCAGTCGGATCAGGGATGGAGGTCGCACAGCTTTGTGAAATCTTCGTGTGGGAACGTGATGCTTCACCTGGATGAGCCCAAATCTTCCTTACAGACGCTCATGACCCACTGCTATGTCAGAAACGGGGTAGTAGAAGTACTAACTATCGCCAGAGTCTCAGGAGACGTGGCAAGCTTTGGCGCAGCCTTGGCAGCGGCCACAGCAGCGTGGCCGCAGGCTTTGGCTGCAGAGGCCAACCTCAAGGCGCTTCGCTTAAAGCTGGCAATTGAGGAAAGGCTTTAGCTGCAAGAGAGGGGAGGCTTTGGGGCTTTGAAGTTGCCGTCTATCCGAGTCTATCCACTGTCTCATGCAGGAGGCCGGCCTACAGGCCAACACCATAACTCGCAACTCCCTGGCGCAGGCCACGGGCAGACTCAGCAACCCTCAATCTATCCCTGGTAGATCTTTGCTGTGAGCAAAATGCTGCCTAATGCTAGTAAATGCCAGTAAAAGGTGCTTGGGCATGCGCTGCACTGCGTGCACATTATCAAAAGCCGTTGTGCGTGTGGTGTGTTCAAGGATGAGCGCAACAAGCGCGGTTGCACGCTTGAACTCTGGACTCTCGATTGAAGACTTTATTGCTGAAAGCTCCCGCTGAATCGTGCTCAGAGAAAGTGCTGCTTTGAGCTGTGGTTTTGTGCGATCAATCTATGTGATTCCGTGGCAACCAGCTTGGTGTGGAGACGTGTGCAGCGTTCGCCAGTTTATGTTGCAGCGCTTGCAACTTGCAACATATCTTTCTTCAACAAACATCACGCATCACATGCAGGAGGCAGTCCCCCCTTCCATCTAGAACTGTCATGGTTCCAGAACAAGTCGCAAAGTCGCGCAGTATGGGGCGCAACGGCAGCGTTGGAACACAGCAACTTGAGCATGGAACACGACCTGTGCAAAAGGCCTACCAACTGGGCGCGGGCTGGCAGCAGGCACTCACGCTGCAGGTGGGGTGGTCTTGGGCATGGGTTTCAGACTTGAGGCTTTGTGACAAGCTTGTGTCCAAACAGTGGATCCTGTTTGTAAAGGTCTGCTTGACGCTTATGTGCCTCAAGGGGGCCGCGGAGGGTCCTGGATGAGTCAACGCAATCCAGATGCAAAACCCGTGACAAGTCCTGCTTCTGCGACGATCAGGAAGTTGGGGCCACCGTGGACGGAGATCCGCTAACATACACCGCTCAAGTTGAGGCCGGTACCATGGTTTGTATTCAGCTTTGGTCTGTGCGCGGACAAGGGTCAAATTGGCGATAAGTATAATTAGAACTTGAGGCAACAAAAGGGGCCCTTGGTTTGGGCTCCCAGGCAGTGCATGGCAATGTGGTTTGGTTTGCTTGAAGTTGCACGTGCCTACTCATGCAGTTGCTAGCTCGATTCGGCCGCAGAACAAACAGCTCAGCCAATGAGAATCAGACACCTCTGGCCTCAATATCTCGAGACATGCTGAGCCGCTGAGCAGCAGGTAGAAGGCAACAAGCAAAGAATGTAAAGCACCCACAACAGAGGCCTTGCCCACAAGGTCTCGTTGTCCTGAGACCCGTGCCATAAAAGAAACACTTCATCAACCACAAAGCTGCTTTTGCCAGGCCTGTGCTTCGGCCGCTGAGTGGGGCGCAGTACCTGGCCTGTGTGCCGGTTTGAGCCGGGCGCTTCTGCAGGGCTTCATGAGCTGATGGGACAGCTGAAGTTTCCCAAGCTGAGCTTCAAAGTTGACTTTAGGGACACGGACAGTTGCAGAAGATAGTTTAGTTAGCCTGGTTGCTCACGAGTCCCTAATGCCACAGCAGGCAGATTTCAGACCGGACCTTGTTTGCATGCCAGCGCAGCAGTGGGAAAACGACGACCTCTGGACCTAGCAAACGTGACAAGTAAGAGAAGATACCGGCCTTCTGAACCTCTGCGTAGGCATCGTCAACTGTACAGTCACACTAATCGCTCTGATTTACAGCAGCGACGGTGACGTGGAAGAGCGTGTGGCTGTGCAGACATAAGCTTAGCAGCGTCTCTGCCTAGACACTCTCATGAAACAGCCGCCTGTGCAGTCCAGAACACTCACTCCCTACACGCCAGTGCCAGAGTGAACTTGTCAAGGCCATCGTGGCCGAAACGTAACCTGAATCCGAATGTGACGTCAATCTTCAAACCCCACCAGCCAGGTCAACACATGGCCAATTTTGTTACCACAACCTGTGCGATTTACTGGGGATGGTCCCAAGCAGCAATGACAGGACTTTGCAAGGGCATTCCGTGTTCAGCTCGAGGACTTAGGCCCAGGTGGGACCTTTGCAGAATATGGGGACACAGAGTGCTGCGGATTGGAGTAGGGCTGAACATTGGGATGAGGAGTTTCTGTTCAGGCGGATCGAGCGTTTTTTGGCAATGCTCGATGTGGGCTCAAATTGGGATGTCCTGAGCCCTGACAGGTACAGAGCAAAACGTTTCCGTGATTCTTGAGCTCCTGAAGCCAGGGCCCCATGCCACTTTAATGTTTGGGGTGTCATGCTCAGCGCCCCATGGCAGTGCAACACTTGACTTAACCGGCGAGGAACTGCGGTATATTCCATGAGCTCTTCTACCCAGCCCTGGTCTGAGATTCTCGTGGAACGTTCTCATGGAAGATTGAAGGTAATGGGTGCGGGCATTGAATGCCAAGCTGACGCCAAAGTTCAGATTCATTTTCTCGTGTGTGCTTATCCCTGTCTACCTTCCATACCTTTCCAGGCCTTACCCGAGGATGATGGCGAGGCTGGCTTTTAAGCCCTGTGCTTCTGGCAAATGTCCGAAGAAGGGGAAGAGGATGAGAGTCTAAAGGTGAGTCGAAAACTGGATTAATCCGATCATCACTTCACATGATTGGAACAGCACCTTCTGTGTTTCTCTTCGTGAGCTTTCTTGGAGAGTCTTGCTGTTGTACAGTTCAGCTACGAATACCAACTCATACAAATGTTGCCAGTGTCTGATTTGTCGCGGCGGCATTTTGAAGGTTTTCAGGACCTTGGTTTTGGTACTGCGACTTGCTCCTTCAAAGACGCAGTCTCCATGGCTCCAACTCCACTTTTCAACCCACGAGGATGGGGAGTCCGCTGAGGATGAAGTGGCCACAGGACCGGAGCGTCATGGGATGTGGAGCATTCTCAGAAGAGCATGGAGGTTGGTGTTAGACTCGTGGAACATTTCTGAGCAAATTTACGGCAAAGCAAGTCCCTGCCCAAGGCATGCCCATGGTTTGACCTGCCCCTGAACCCGCCCGACCAGCACACGAGGAGACCAGGAAACATGAGCCGTATGGCCAGTTTCCTTCCGTTTCACTTTTCAAGCCGGCCACAGCAAGTTAAGTAATCAGACTGGCCATGCTGTTACGTAAGCTATTTGTATTATCAAGGCTTAAGCGAGGTGTTCGTGGTGCTGATAGGGCAAGCATATCTTTCTGGAGGTAAGTTTGGAGCACGAAACGATTCTTGTTGAAAAGAGGTGCGCTCTTCCCTGTGAAGGCCAAACCACCAGAGCGACCCTGTTCGATCCTGACTTAAACTTCAAGGTATGGTTTCCCCTATGCGACCTCCCTAAGGTTCCCCTTTCAATAGCCCCAAACAGGTAATGGAGTTTGAGGGCGGTAATGTGGAATGCATGTTTGGGGAACCATGACAGAGCTACAGTCAGGGAGTCCACGACTTTCCAGCTGTCCTGTTCACTTTCAACAGCTCCCAGACATGCTTCTGAACCAGTGCCATGCATCATGGCCGGCTTCCCAACTCCCAACCCCCATGGCCCCAAAATGGGGCCGGATGCTGTAGAGAGGGACTGTCAT